GCGTCGACTATTAAATCAGTCGTCGACGATTTTGATAGTCGACGTAATCGTGACTAGTCGACTAATCCTACCTAATCCTCCGACCAGCCCTACTTTTGATGTCCTGTGCCTGGAAAGCCTGACGCTATGAATCAACTTGCAGTCATATGAGCTCTGACAGGCCTACCTGATCACACATAACATCATGAAAAGTTTCCTCGTGGGGTCTTAATGTGCAGGAGCTTTTGCACTTGACTTTTTTCCTGTGGCACAGTAGCTTCAAACTGAGGGTTCAGATAGATAATTAGCTCCTTATTGATTTGGCCTTGCGGAACTACATTTCTTTTTATTCAATCCTTAATCCATACTGCCACAATCCACTATCCTGCTGGGGCCTTTCTGCGTGGAGTCTGCATGTTCTCATGTTTGTGTGGGTTAGGTTAACTAAAATGATTATTCTAAATTGCCCATAGGTGCAAATGTGAGTGTGAATGGTTGTCTGTCTCTATGTGCTAGCCCTGCGATAGCCTGGGGACCTGACCAGGGTTTGACTCATCCTGTGGCATCTTGGAGAGGCTCCAGATGTTTATTTGAGTGTGGATGTGTGTGAATATCAGATAGAAAGCACTTAGACATAGAAAAACATGCTTTTATGAATGGGTGAATGAAACATGTTGCGTAAAGCACTTTAAGTGCTTGAGCAGGACAGTGCTGTATAAGAATCAGTCCATTTACCACTCACCATTTCCTTGATGAAATTACATCTATTAAATGAAGCTCTCAGCTTAGTTTTGGTGAATGTATTTTTCTGTCTACTCTGTGTTTTAGACACCTTGCCATCAGATCCAGTCCAGCAGCAGTACAACTTTTGGATGAGCCTAGTTGATAAACTTGGGGTGAAGGCCTTTGTTGACCTGACACTCTCTCCTACTGTCAGACAGGGAACTCAGCATCTGCTTCGCATCACAGGCCTAGGTAAGCTCATTTTTGTCTCCTCGCTTTTCTGGTGATTACATTCAGTCCAGAGTGTGACGTTACTTTTTGTGCTGAATCCTACATTCCTCTAAAAGGCGGCATGAAGCCCAACATGCTGATTTTGGGGTTCTATGACAGCTGCACTCCTGAGGACTTCCTCCTGCAGGACTCTGCCTTCTGCGACACAGCAGTGGAACGAGGCGGCGAGGATGAATTTAATTTTGGGGTTGACCTGCCTTCACTGCAGGCTCATTTCCCCCCCGTCCGAGATGCAGAGAGCCCACGGTGGCTCGCACCAGAGGAATACGTTGGGATAATTTCTGACGCCATTAAAATGAACAAGAGCGTGTGCCTGGGTCGGTATTTCTTCCAGTTAGAGGGAGAAGATAAAGACAGCAAGGTCGACGGCTCGGAGCGGATCATAGACGTGTGGCCGCTCAACCTGCTCCAGCCGGGCAGCCGTGATTACGAGGACGTGTGCAGCCTCTTTCTGCTGCAGATGGCCTGCGTACTCAACATGTCCAACAAATGGCGGCACGCAAAAATGAGAATTTTCCTCAACGTGGGAACCGCTTCCAGCGACCAGGGATGGATGGTCAACGAAGAGACCTTTCGAGAGCTGCTGAGGAAGCTGAGGATCAGGGCGTTGATAAAGATCGTGCCGTGGGACTCTGTGGTGCAGCACCACACTCCCACCGCAGAGCCAGCACAAGCTCCGTCCAAGAGCTTCTTGTCAGCAGTGAACCACATGTTGATGGAGCACAGCTCACAAGCTACTGTTCGCTTCCTGTATTTACCTCAACCTCCTTCACACCGCAGCCAGTCACAGGTGTTTCTAGCTCAGCTGGAAGCAGTGACCAATGAATTAGGTCCAACGCTTCTAATTCACGGCGTCACCCCAGTCACGTACACTGACCTCTGAGCATGTGCGGTGATGACTTTTTGTTATCTCAGTACGATTTGTCATTGAAATAGTGTCTTATCTCATTGTTCACTTAAACGCGGGTAGCAACGATGGTCAAGTAGCACTTGAGGTCTTTCATTTAAATATGATATTTCCTTATTTTTATATACTTGAACTATTGAACTGGCTTCAACTGAACCAGGAATCGGGAGAATACTTTGCTTTTGTTGATACAACCTTCTTCTTGCATTATCTTCAGGCCTGTCTAAACAAAAACAGGCCAAAGGCTCTTCGTAACAAACGCGCGGGTTGTTTTAAGCTGCGCGGGTTGCCCAGGGCATTACATATAGAATATATCTGCCTATCATTTCAGTGATGAAATGCTGAGCTTTGGATTAACAAAAACAAGTGCAGAATAAATTCCTCTAGTTCAGTTTCTAAATGGCATTGTGTTCTTTTCGTTTGTACTTTTTTTTTGCTGCCTACTTTCGTTCCTTCGCTCTCATGTTTCTGCTGGTTGCTGGACCAAGAGATCCAAAGGCGTCTTTTGTTTGGGACCCTGTTTCATTCAGATTTGTATTTATTTGTTTTTGGGTTTTTTTCTTCATGTCCTCATGCCAATTTATGAATTTTTTTCCCAGTGATATAAAGGGAATTGTTATAGACTTGACATTAGAATGATACATTTGTTGCTATTATTTGTGTTTATTTAAAAAAAGAAAAAAGTTGATTGGACTTGGTGCTAGCAGAGCAGACTCTAAAAGTTCAGAAAGGGTTATTCGGTTACATTGGAGGTGATAAATAATGATAACAATAACGCTGAACAAATATATTTCATATAATCATATTTCAGTCTTTCGTGGTGAGGATGATATTTCAGACCAGTAAAGACAAACAAGTTTTCATCACATTTTTACAAAATATTTAAGTAACCATATTTACAACATGAGATGTCACAACACACTGAGTTTGTTGTCACTGCTGAAAAAGCATCAGCGTGTTCTTGTTTGTGCTTGATGAGAACACTTTTGGACTCTTGTGCACTAATATTACTGAAATTACTGCCACGGACACTGTCTGTTGTCATCTCTGGAGCTGTTACGTAAATTAATATTTTTGTTGTAACCACTTATGTGTTCAAACCACAGAATGTAATAAAAACAGATCAAATCTACATATCTGCCAGTTGTATTACGATTTTATTGTTGCCTTCAGTGCAATTCTCACATCAGAAAAGTCATTCTCACTACTCTTACTGCAGAATAATTTACTCCACCCACGTTAACTTTTCTCATTGTTTTTATACAGTGCTGTAGTTCTTCCACATACTTCACAGCTAAAGATAGAAGTTGTTGTGTTGATGCACTTTTCATCTTAATCTCATTAAAACACAGTTTGCACTCTTGATTGCTCACTTTGCTGATTACTGCATTAGTGTTTTTACTGTAATCCAGGGGTAGGCAACCTTTCTGATGACGAGTGCCATTTAAAATTTCCTCAGAAGTCAGTGTGCCATATGATTGCATTAGCAATAAATTTAATAATGCTCTATATTAACGGTTACACACTATATAGAACCACTTTTATAGAATTATATTTGTTCGCAGATGTTGGCAGCTATCAGCGAATAGTTATCAGAAACAAAAAAGACACTTTTTATCCATAACAGCAAATGAACTGTACAACAGAAAATGCAAATGCTATTTATGGTCTCCTCACAACAATGATAATGTTGTGAGGAGATGCCCTACCTG